CGATTTCAAGCTGATCCTCACCAAGGTGGGTCCCTGCCAATCTTGGAGGACTTTGCATTTCGACAGAGCAAAGCATAGCACAAAACGATTGACAGCCATTGCTCCTTGGCACGTTTGGGAGTTGTGACAGATTAGGGCAACATCGTCAGCCTAATCCAAGTCGAGAAGTCGTTCACCTGGGAGAAGCTACACCTGTTACAAGTTGTGTTCAGCGAACGTTGTTCTTATGACTTCGTCAATGACGATGTTGAAAAGGAAAGGTCTCAGCTAGAAACCTTGTCTCACATCGCTGGGGATATCGAAGGGCGGCGACAGTTTGCCATAAACACTCACTCTACCCGAACTATGCGCGTACAGCTCTTTGATACTGTTTTCGTATTTGTTGGGCACACGATTTCTCAGCAGACAGTCCCAAAGGGCACATCAATCGACCGAATCGAAGGCACCTTTTATGTCGAGAAACACGAGTTCAGTGGGTCGTCAATAAACATGGCAGTGCTCCAACAATTGACGCAAACTGAAGATGTAATTGATGCATCCCCGACCTTGATGAAACCCTGATTGCTCCTCGGTTGTCTGGCTTTCACGAGTGCCATTCAGTCTGTGGAGAACAGAGGCAAGCGATTCAGAAGCACTTGAGATCAGACTGATTCCCTCGATGATTGTTGCATTGCGAACGTGAACCTCATATGAAAATTGGGACTATGACGCAGCGGCTCCAGTCTACTGAGAGTGTTTCTTGCTCCACAGCTTCACAAGTAAGCTGTGCAAATCATTTACAAGAGCAAATCCCCAGAATTTGAAAAGGGCTGTGAAGTCTGTCTGCTCCTGCGACTTTCTTCAGTTTCAACATTCTGATGTCGCCGACTTTTGCGCGTGATGGTGGATCCAAGGACACGACCCAAGTATAAGGGCACTCAGTGCATGAAAATGTGTGATAACTCAGTTTAATTGAACCGCTTTGCAAATTGTTCAAGTGTCTTGACAATTTGCGGATCGGCTGTCCACGCCATAAATAGTTTCACTAACCCCAGACCTCCTGTTGGCGGTTTCTCATGTCAGGCAAAATAATTTCAATGGTTATCAACGTCAGCCGCTGTTTCCATCTCCGACACAAGATGAGACAGCCAGGATTTGCGGTCTCTCTTCAAGCTAGCACGGAGTTTTCCCCTGATATTTTTGCGAGCCTCACTGTGTTTGCTTCCTGCTATAACACGGCGAGCATCCAGAAGTGGTGCTCCCACCACACATGAACGATTATTATACTCTCACTAGACGCGATTCCGAAATAGGCACTTTACTACTCCACAAAACATTCTATCCCAACCGAAGGAAAATGCGGAACGCCAATGACCTTAACAAAATAACGTGTTAACCGCCGTCAATACAACACAGTACAAATGCAGCGGAACTTTGCTGTGTTTATAGGTCTCTTACTAACCTTTGACTTCTGGAATAAGAAGGTCAACTGCCAAGATTAGTTGTCTCCCATAGTTTTGGCCGATCTTTAGGAGGTTGCCAGTCACCTGCAGGCACTGGAATATTGCAGAACTTTCGAAATCGATGCGATAATCGCTAACAATCGATTAGTCGCGAAAATAATGGATTTTCCGGGAAATTCTTATCATCTCCCAGACACCCCTTCCTGAGATGGCGTCTGCGGTATATGGTGAAATCCTGAGATTAATTGTCAGTCTTTGGGACAGTGTTTTTTGCCTGTCGGTTCATCTCCAAGGCTGAAATGCTCGAGAAATGGGCTCCGACGTTTGGGGTCTGGTTTCCTTGCTCTACTATGAGCAGTCGTCCACGAGTTTCCTTGTCAAGTGAAAGCTTTCCACCAATAAGTCGAACGGGAGATCGGCAGGTTATGCTTCGTCTGGTTGACATAGTGTTGAGCGTAACTGGTTTGCATGCCGGGCCCAGATCTTTGTTCACACGATCACGTCATACATGACACTTCTGCGCTTGTTTTTGTCCGTTCTTGGTGTCCACTTCGCGTGGCCTTCCCGATCATTTCGTACCAGCACTGTCTGTCCAAGTGTAAACCGTCGTTTCTTTGCTCCATGCCGTTCGCTTAAAATCGTGTCCAATTCTGCGGTTTCTTTTACCAACACAGGGCTCTGAGCGCGGTCGGATGGCGTCGAAGCTTCCGGTTCATGATAGCATGTGCTGGAGAAACTCCGTCCGGCGCTTGTGGATTCGGTGTTGGTCAGTAGAGGAAAAGGAACCGGTCAACCACCTCCTCTATACTTCCCTCCGCTTTTGACTTGTGGAGAGCTCGCTTGAACACATCGACAAACCTTCCCGTCTGGCTTGCAGAACTCAGGAAAAGTTGCGGAAGTGAAGTGTGTGCCGTTATCAGTTACAATTGTCTCTTGACAGCCGAATCTGCTGAAGTTTTGGCGCAGTCTTGATACAGTAGCATTGGTGGTTGTGCTATCCATGGGAAATACTCCAGCCATTTACTGTATGAGTCGACTATGATGAGGAAATTTCGGCCGTTGATCGGTCCTGCGAAGTCGACATTGATGCGGCTTTTAGCCATGAATGCAGCTCCGCTTTTTGTGGCACTTCTAAGCCATTGGCGCACTTTTAGCAGCGTTTAGCAAGTTCTAGCCGTTTGTCCATGAAGGACCAGTATACAAAGCTGCGGGCACGCACCTTCATCCGGTTGATCCCAGGATGCCCGGCATAGAACTGCCGAATAACGCGCTCCTGAAGGGCCTTGGGAATGACCACTCTTTCCGAAATAGTGTACAGTTGTTCACGATAGAGAGCGAATGTCTCCTGTGGTAGTACTGTCGCGACTCGACAGATGAGCACGAATCTGACCAACTCGTTCTGTGAAACTATGTGAGTTTATCGAGTATTTGGTCCCGAAGTGTTTCGATTCGTACGGCTTCTTCGGTAACTGGGATATCTTGCGATGCGTCACTCACCAGATACTTGACGTCAGGTTCGATCTCGACCGCGGCAATGACTGTCCTCATGTTCTTGATGATGGACATCAATTAGGCGTGACAGTGCATCCGCTTGGCCAATGGAAATTGTCGAATGGTAGTGGATCTCGAAATCATACCCATTAAGGTAAGAGCCCAAGGCTGTAGCCGTTTGTCTGTGTAAGTCGGGATGCCCTTTTTCGAACCAAAGATGGCCAGCGAAGGCTTGTAATCTGTCAGAAGCTTGAAGCGGCGGCCGTACAGCATGTGTAATTTCTTGACCGCGTACACTATATGCAATGCTTCTTTCTCGATCTGGCCATAATTTCTCTCGGCCTTCGTAAATGTTTTCTGGCGGCACGGGCGATTGCTTTCTAAATTCCATTTGTTTTCTTCATTGGCTTTTACCAAAAAATGTTCTTCAGTCATTTTAGTTATCCCCGGTATTTTCAAAGCCATCCTCAGAAACCAACTTTTGATCGACTCTAACAGTGTTTCCCCACGATTACATTTTAACATGGTAGCCACCAACAGAGGTTACCATTATGTTTACCAAATATCCTACTATCTCACGGTTAATCGAGAATACAATTAGTACCACCAATTATTCATAGTAAATGCGGGTTCCCCTTGTCGAATGATGTTATTTAATGCTCATGATATAACTGTATGAATAATAAGACAAAAGCAGTATATATAGATATTACATATAAACAATTTACAATATATTTCAGGAATGAGCTCATCAGCAATGAATAAGTTTCGGTCGTACTCCGTGGAATACCTGTCATTTGGATTTATCGCATTGCCTCAAAACCCCACACTACCTTTGTGTTCCATTTGCCAGAACATTCAAATGAAAGTATGCGACAAAGTAAACTGAAAAATAATTCAAAAAGTGTTCATAAGGACGAAAGCGGAAAGTCCGTGAATTTTCTCAGAAAGCTGCGTGATAGCTTCGAAGAAAGACTAGCTTTAAAGGTAAACGTTTCCGGCAGGGTAAAAAATGGCCATTGGACTTCTGGTGTCTTATAAAATCAGCAAGTTGTTTGCCAAAATTTTCAGTCCACATAATTTTGGATCACTTATTATCTTGCCTTTAGTATCAATAATACTTTCTGACCTGATGAATATGAATGCACAAGAAGCATTTCAAGCCATTTTTCAGCAATTCAACTGTATCTAGGTGAATAGAGGATGGTTACTTTACTACAGTCCGGAAAATTCTCGTTACAATTAGCTGAATCTACTTTATCTGAGAACAACACTTTTCTGGTGGCATACGTGATTCTTCCATGATAATTACTTAGTAGAAGAGATGTTGTTTGCTGGGAGATTTAAAACTCATGCAAAGGGCCAGTCTATTTTTGAGGTACTCAATAGCTGTCTGACTGAAAACTCTATTACAATACAGACCATATTTGCATGTGCGATAAATCGCGCTACCGAAATAATCGGAAGATATAAAAGATTCATTGCCTATCTAAAAAATGTTATCCCTTCTGTTCACACAATTCACTGTGATTCATCGGGAGCACCTAGTGGTTAAAAACTGAGCCATCGTTGGTTGATTGGAATCTGATGGACAGGCGTTTGTGTGCAGCCCGTATGACGACATCAGCTAAGGTTTATACAAGAAGTAATACAAAATGCTATTTTGTGTTCGCTTAAGCTTCCACCGACTGCAGTTTTAATGCTGTCAAGGACACATTCTATCACAAACTGAACACCCTACTACGCAGTGCTACCAGTTCATCTTACATAGTACGTGCAGGGGATATGAATGTACAAGCAGGGCGTATGACTTCTTCAAAAACTCAGCTGGGTGATAAGTATGAGCAAACTCCGAACGGACTGACAACGGCGAGCGTCTGCTGCACCATATGGTGGTCACATCCTGTTCATGGGTTATCAATTAATGCGTTAACAGATGGAATACCAATGGTGAAAACCAGATCTAAGATGTTAGCTAATCTGGTAGGCTGTCTATTATTGATACAGTGGTGTATTAGCCTGGTGAGGAACCATTGAAAACGAGCTTGTTCGCTAGCATTTGTTCTGATGATACAGATACATTGGATTGTTTCTTCAATTCATCCAGTTGTAGCCCTGTGCAATATCCAGATTATTATTCAGATTGAAATCTTCACAAAGGGATTTGTACTTGTGTGGATTGTTAGAAGCAGCATAACGGCAGACATTAAGTGCAAAGATTCATGGAGAGTGTCATCAGGTCTATAAATACAAGTAGCAGATCACAGGCCGGAATAGCCAAGCATAATGAGGTGCAGGCACCTTTATTAAAAATCGGAACAATAACTAACTCGTCCTATCAAAGAGGCACGTTTCATTCATATTAGGTTCTGGTAAACAGTGAGATCAGATGGCTGGTGGCTACTGCACCGTCATACCTAAACAGTCCTGGAGAAAGTCCGTTCGAGCCGGCAGCTTTGAATCGCTTAAAGTGTTGCATCGTAGGGCAAACTTCCACATCGCTCGGTTGGCCAAGTGTGGCGGACGGTAAGAGCCAATTGGATTGGCAATTAAAATGTTCGGCCCATCGACTCAAATGTCTCCGTTGTTTAACTATAGGCGAACCATCCGCTTCTAAAATAATCCCACTGACAACAAGTTTTATGTGACCGGCGGACTGAATAAGCTGGAAGAGCTTGCGAGTATAGCCAAAAAAGGCAGCGGACTCTACTACTGAGACTCTAACCCTGAGACAACCGTGCTTCGCGATCACTGCGTAGGCTTAGTTTGCGCTGCCGATTGACGGAACGGTCAACTTCATTATAATTAGACTCCGCTGAGATATTCCTGTGGCGATCAAATAGATCCAGGCAGCGCGTGAAGACCCAGACCTTCATAAGGTGCTGAGTAAGACCACAGCCTGACTCTGCTGGGGCGATCATGATCTTCTGCATGAACATCAAGTGTTCATCAATATCTTGCAGTAAATCGTAGCTGAGTGCATTAACCAGCGAAGCTTAAAAGTTCTGCTTAGCCGAGAGATTAGATAATTTATTTGTATCCACCTTGCAGTTTTTCGCTCTCAAAAACCCTCCGAAACGCATGCTGTTTTAGCACAGACAAAAACAAGGTCTGAGTCGAGAAATGTGGGCCAGATTGATCTGCAATCCTGCTGCTCATACTGCAGGAGTGTGTGTAGATGAGTTGGTCTAAAACAAATAATCCTGCCCGTCTTTCTCGAAGGACGCATTGCATGCAACAGACTTCCTGCGACCGTTGACTGGACAGAGTGGGCATGGACAGTGCGAGACGCCGACCAGACGCTTTGCTACCACGCTACCAGCATCAGTCGCGCGTAGGCTGAAGATATTGCGAGATCGCCTGTATCTGCGCAGATTCGAACCGGTTACCGTTAGGTTACAGAGCAGACGCTTCACTCCTTCGGCCAGCGACCGATTGGACAGTGTTGCTGGACATTGAGTGTTTTGGGATTATGAAAGCTGAAGAACGGTATGGATTTGCATTTCGAAGCGTGTGGCTAGCTAGTATCGAGGGAACAAAGCAGATGATTGGACGCCTACGCATATTCGCCTATATGCTGATTGGTTCGTATTTGACTACACTGGAGTGGGTTTCTTTAACTACTTCAAAGGAAGAGTCTCATAAATGCAGAAGCGTTGTTAGTTATGGAGGTGACATGGTTATTTAAATCGATGTATCTCCATGCTGGCATACAATCATTTTCACTGAGACGGGTTTGTCGAATAATCCGTTTGTCTCTGAAGGACTGAGTTTTGCGACATGGTGTCAGAGAAGACCAAAGCAAGATCACCAAATGGTTTCAGAAAGGTTTGTAAACAACCGCTTGGTATAGTTTGTGGTGCTCAGTTGCTGATAGGACCGCAACCGGACGTGCAAACACCTGTTGTATTGAACTTTGAAGAGCACAACTTGGTAAGTAACTGGGAAATTCGAAAAGGCAAGTGGTTTGATTCCTGCGTACTGGTGCAATGAAGTACAAAAAGCACGACAACCCATATGATCTGGAAACAGTCATCAGAAATCCGACGGTTTCTGCGAGAAGTATCAGCGGTATCTATTTTTCACCCGAAACAGGCGCCCAGAAGAAACTAGAGAATTATGCTACGGAGCTGAAGATCCTGGCTCGTTTCTGTAATTCTTGCATTTGTATGGCTAAATCGTGATGGTGATCAATGATGAAAACATCACTAAGCGGCTGTTGCGGCAACGACATTTGTCGCTCAGACAGCGAATCATCAGCTGCACACCACATCCAACAAATGCGGTTGCCGACTGATGCAGTGCTCTGGGCTGTAGTAAGTTTTCCTGACAAAACTGTAGAGCCTGTTACCAAGACACACGAAACTTGCAAATTCTGCGCCGATCGACACCCGAACGATCGCGATCAATTTCCGACGTGGGGCTGAATTTGCGCCAGATGCGGCAGACGGAATCATTTCACTAGAGGTTGCTAGACTTGGAGATGTATGCACTCAATCGTGACACAACAGCAATGTGCTGTGGACGGGACCAAGGAAGTGAGTCTACGCAACTTTACTGGTTGACGAGGAAATCGTGCGTTTCCAGTTAGATACGGATGTTACCATCAACATACTATTATCTAAGTGGTGCCAAGGAATTCGTGTGCGACCTGATCAGGGATCCGTGCGCATGTGGAACGGTTCCAAGCTCCTGCCGAAAGGTTTGGCTTCAATCAAAGAGATCAATCCCAAAGCCAGCTCTTCATATCAGTTGGATTTCCTGGTCGGGTAGGAAGAGATCACGCCCATTCCTGGCATTAATTTCATCAAGAGTCTTGGCTATGTTCATTTTGACCATGATCGCTTTGGACATGTGTATGAAGCGTAGACAGATGTTAGGGAAGTGTATCCGTCCGTGTTTAACCCAAGTTTGGGGAGGTTTGAAGATTCAGTTTATTTGTCCTTAGATCCGTCAATACGACTGATTGCGTTACCCGCTAGAACGGTTCCGTTTGCTTCATGTGACAAATTCGCTGCTGAGTTAAGTAACTTGATGCATTTGGGCGTAATCGTTTAGGTCGACGAGCCGGTAGACTGGGTTGGCAAAGGCACTATTGTCACGGAAAGGATCAGTGATTTGCGTCTGTGCATAGATACTAATCTGTTGAAGGAAGCTTTACGTAGAGAACACTATACGCTACCAACGTTAGATTTTCTGCCGCGTTTGGCCAAGACAAAGTACTTCATAAAGATTGATCTATCATCGGCGTTCTGGCACGTGGTCCTAGACCAATAATCCAGTTCATTAACGACATTTGCCACATTTTTCGGGCTGTTTCTGTGGTTACGTTTACCTTTTGGTTTAAAGGTTCCGAGTGAAATTCTTCAGAGGCAGTTATTGCAAGCTGTTGGCTATCTAAACGATAAAACAAATGTGGCAGACGATTTGCTGATTTGCGGCTCAATCGAACAGGAACATGACGTCAATCTGCACCACTTTTTGCAGCGTTGTGTGCAAAAGGACCTAAAGCTCGAACGCGAGAAAGTTAAGCTCTGGAAACCGGAATCGATTTTTCACGGACATGTTCTAACATCCGAGGGAATTATGATCGATCCTGGGAAAATCAAGGCAGTGAAGGAGATGCTACAACCTAATGACACCAAGGCTGTTAGTAGTTTAAACGGCATGGTGAATTGTTTGAACTGATTCTTACTAAGGTTCGCTGAAATCATGACGCTCATCCGGAGGCTGAAACACAAGGGTGTAAAGTGGAGTTTGGGAAAAGAGCAAGAGGCCGCCTTTAAAACCATCAAGCATCTCATCAGGGCAGCCGAAAGACCCTGCCCCACTTTCGTTTAGTAGCATATGGGAGATGTATTAACACGAACGGATGACTCAACTTGTACTCTGGGCACGCTCTCCGTATGTCTGCACAACCGTTGCTCCGCCGCGCACTGTTTGCATATGCTGGCGTTGATTGACAACTTACACACAATCCGGGTCCGGGGAGTCCAGGCGCTGACATTGCAGTTGGCCACGGTGGGGCGCTCCAGGTTTCCGCATTGGGAGCTCAAGGATAGTGAACAACCTGATTGAAAACCTTATCGGACATGGCGCGGAATCATACCCAATGGTAAACGTGTTGCGAGACCCTCCTCCCCTGGCTGTGCTCGATGCGAATAGTAGTAGGCTATCAACTCATCTGAGGTCATCACCTTAATTAATGACTTTAGCGATTGGTTTTGTCCTTAGGGTTGGCGGATTACGCAGGTTGATTGGCTCCAACATGGGATGATTTTCGACCCAGAAGCCTTCTACCTAGGGCTTGTAAACAGGATTGCTCTAAATTAACATCGGTGGTGTGTAGGCTTAAAGACTCTAGCCGTCTCCGTAACATTCGTGACTCCACCCGCATGCCTCCCGAGCATATTCCTTCGGTTTAACACTGACTGAAGTATGCATATATGGAACAGTGAGCAGTGATGCGCAAAATTGTTTGCAGTCATAGTGGCAGGCAAACCCGGAAACGGATCCAGCCAATCACCAACGTACTCACTCCCGCCACTGCAGTGGTCGTCATTCCAAAATAAGATTATCCCAATCCCGTCTTAGACCTACCATAACGCTTGACATTTCTATCACTCACACCTATTTCTCTCCATCTGGAGCAGGTCTGATCCAAATAACCTTTGGCGAGTAGTTTTCATCACCTTCCTATTTCAGTCAATAACCCGCGGATCACATAGATCGAATACCTTCCAGTTCATCAGGCGTTTTGACTCGCACACAGTTCGCATTTGCTGGGAACTAAGCATAGCCTGCATGGTACATGTTGCGGAACCAATGTGTACGCAATACTTATCAACTCTGATTTCTATGAAATGCGCTTAATGTCTGGACTACCCTAAGGATTTGAAGATTGGTATGGGGACGATAAATGAATGCATGACAGATATACGCACAAAACGAATATATCGTCAGCAGACGCAAGATTGCAAACCATTAGGTCGAGTTGTGAGTGAGCGATCATGCATAACAGCAGCGGTTCACGGTTTAGTTCACCACATCTTTCAAGTACCTTTGGTGTTTCGGAGGGTCCACACGTTGGAATGAAAGCTGGATTTGAGCTGGCGTCGGTAGCGGCGGCTTGCATGACGGAGACGAAGATCACAGACAGGAGCTGGCTGAGCATTATCATTAACCCGGTGGTTATTGACCCGGGAACTGGGAAGGTGACTTCGGCAGCCAGTTCTAGAGCGAGGCTGTACTGGGAGAACCCGAATGCTCCGATCCAAACGACGCATACCATAATAAAAACGGCTTGGTTCGGAAAATGTAGCGCAATGCTCAAGCCCACTGTGCCCAAGGCTGCCATCACGAAGCAGACCTACGGAGAAAGGGAAGTGTAGCATAAATTCCTAGATATATGTGAATAAAAAGCCGAGCGGGTTTCTGTGCAATGGAAGTAACAAACGAAAGGAATATCTAAACAAAGTATTGTTACGTTACAAAAATGTTGGCTGTACCCTGAAATTGAAGGTGGAAGTGTAGTCATCAGTGGATATCGTGCGATTAGGTCCGATCGCCCAGGTAAGCCAAGGCATCATGGTTGCTCGTCATCACGTACGTTAATCAGCTCAGTAAATCAACTATCACTCTACATGCTCTATTAGCTGTCATTTACTTGAATGCAAGCCTAAATTTCCCAGTGGCTTTCAATCCGTTGTTATGGGTCACTCAATGCTCCTGATACATCATCGTCCGAATTGAGGCTTTTAGTTGAGCAACTTTCTTTGGTATTGCTGCCGAAAGTTAAATGCTCTGCCTGCATTGTTGCCGGGGACTTTAATAAATGTGATACAACGTTCATCAAGTCGTTTGATCTGGCAAATTTAGCAAACTTTCCCGACCAGACAAGACGCACAAGTTGATGTGGTTTATACAAACAAAATTCGTTTGTTTTCCATTCAAAATCCAACACCACTAAGCAACCCGGACCGGTGTATGCTAACGATTTGTCCTACCATCTACAGGAACACTAACTATGCCGCACTGAAGAAACGACAATTCAGGACTATCCGGCGACGCAATCGCTCGGTGGAAAATATCGCACGACTTCAAGCAACGCTTTCTACGACAAACGTTTCAGTTTTTAGAACATCTATCGCTTTAATGTGATCATCCCACGAACTACATAAACTTTTGCTTCCACATATGCTGCCCTATCGAGACAATCTATCTGCTCGCAGATAGATTTCCTTCTCCCCTGCTGAAACAACTTCGAAGGATAAACGAACGTGTTTACAAGCTTAAAAGGACCGCCTGAGTCAAAAGCCTGACTTTAGAAATTAAAGCTGAAAAAAGACACTAAACAGTGCATATATAAAACAGTACTGGGAAACCGGAGTCTCTGGAGGCTTTTAACGCAAATCTGTGGTAAAAGTACCATCGGTTGTACCGGAATAGCGGATGTCAACAAACGCAATTCTGAGTTTAGTTCCTCTCCGTCGAGCGCTTTTCCATGATCCTTCTTCAATAGCGCAGGCCCAGCCGCCCAATTTGATTAAGTTGTCGTCAACAAAGAACACAAGAAGCTAAATTCAAATAAAGCTAGTGGCCCTGATGGCTTATTACCAGTGGTTTTGAAGCAGTGCGCCGATTCGTTTACATTACCCTAATTGATATTTTTAACAAGTGATTCACGATCGGTGTTATCCCCGACATCTGGTCGTCAGCCAGAATAACGCCAATTCCTAAAAAGGAATCTCAAAAGTTTCGCCTTATTGCTTGTACTTCCGTGACCTTAAAAATCCTCGAAAGCAGTAGTT